GTGAATCCAGAAGCTGATTTGGGAGCGACGTCTTTAATTGATACAATGAACTGTTAGGTGACAGTTCGATCTATATTTCAAAAATTGTATCCGTAGTTAATGCAGGCAGGTAGATGTCTCAAAATGATTATCCCAGAATCGTTTCATATTAAATGTAAACGAGAATCAGATCAATTTTACGGTGCATCATTCACATCAACGTTGAACGAACAAAATAAATAATTCGAGCATCTCCTCACTACCCCACTCGACCAGCACAACATATGGAACAACTTGAGAGGTTCAAAAAATCAGCTTTTCATCATGCTTGATTATTTTAAACACGAATTCGAGTGAAATACATAGTGAACCTAAACACCAGCATGAAATAATACACAATCCAGACAACTCACCACTCTGATTCGATTTCCCATAGCCTTCGGTGGTAAATTGTGGTGGAATTTAGCGCGGACAGTACCGGCGTTACCATGTACACGAGTCACTTTACCCCAAATAACACGAACACGGCTGGGTGCCTTTCCGGCTATTTTGGTTTTGTTGTGCGCCTTGTACACATACAATGCCCGCTTCCCTACATACCTGCAAAAAATCTATGCAAGAAGGGAGATAACTGCAAACGTTAGAATAACTTAGTGCTTTTCTGAACGCTATCAGAGGGTCGAGTAGAAAGGTGACTGGGAATGAGTCGGTGGAATAGCACGATGAAGATAATTATAAAACATTTTAAGGCGCTCACCACTTAGCAGCTTCCTTGTTGTGCACACCGTCGAGTTTCAGCAGTGCAGTGTGCTCTCTTTGATTGCGTTGTGCACGTCGGAATCCAGCAAATACACCTTTCACGTACATTCTAAACAATCTTTTAGTGCAACTTTGAAATAAATTTAAAAAAAAAACGTAAAACCTTCCCCATCTAAAACTTTTCCTTGAAACGTGCCGTGCTGCCGCAGTGGCCGATCCTAGACATTACACATGATTGAAAGTTTGGCTCTTCTCGTGGAATCTCCATGACTGAACACGGTTAGAGACCAACACAGAAAACTAAGCAAAAACTTACCTTCCGGCCGGTTTCGGTCCCTGCTGCCTTTCCACTTCGACAGTTTCCATTTCGATTTGTAGACCTGAAANCCATCCTTCTTCAGAATGAGTGCATGAGTTCAGCCCAAAACGATGAACGTCATCAAATATTCGTCACGATTCGCTGCTACTTGGAACTTCACTTTGTTAAATTTCATCTTCGAGAATTGATGTTTCGAATTTGTTGTGCGAATGAAGCACGAAGTGCTATAGCAGTTTAGTAAAAATTATACCACCTTCAACCAGCTAATGTTTTTCATTTTTGTCTATTATTGTTAAATGGTGAGCCAAAGTTACTCCATAAATTTTGGATGGCATTCACTCTCTCCTATGGAGAAACTGTGGTAAATTGAATTCAGCGAACGTTTAAACGCAGACAGAAAATTATTTTATGTAATGAAGAGCGCTGTGAAGTTAAGGTTTAGTGTCGATCATGCTTCGTCCATTCGTGAAGCAGTTAGCAAGACTGCGAGCAGATCGTCACGCTTTTCAACGATTCATTCAAACATGTTCAGCGCGTTGGGCAGGTGAATACGAGTACGAAGATCCGAAATCCGAGGACGATGTGGTTAATATAACGTATATTCTGCGAGATGGGAGCTCGCGGAAGATTCGAGGGAAAGTCGGTGATAATGTTATGTATCTGGCTCATAGGTGAATGAATCTGTTTGTTGTTCTTGACTGGTTGTAAAGTGAACCAATAGAGCATGCACGATTGATCTG